ACACTGGGGCCATCTGTAGTGGCAACAAGTGATGGGCAGAGGGGCACAGTCCTAGGTGGAAAGCTGGAGAAATTCACCCCCCGTCCCTCAGAGACTCCCCTCATTGGGGCTGGCCTTTCCCTGCTGTTCTGCCATGTGCTACCCCTCAACTTGAGCCCTGCATTCCCAGTGCTGCATGTGCCCTTCCCTGCAGGCTGGCTCTGGCTCCCACTGAAAGCAATGAGCATTCCCACGCTGATCCAGTGGGAGCAGGATTGGGGCCTAGGTGCAGCCCCAGCACTGCAGCTAGCCAGAGCACCACACCACAGGGCACGGGGATGGCCTCTGTGCCTTTAAGAGCCTTGCCTTCACGGCCTCCTTTGCTAGGGACCCAAAGTTGCGTCTCTTCCTGGAGCTGCAGCTCAGGCTGTGAGTCAGATCTTAGCTATGCCTGGCCAGGCTTGATACCACACCCAGCTGGGCTGGGGGGAGAGAAAGGCCCAAGGGGGGGAGCCTGCTGGCAGGTGCAAGGGGGAGAGCAGCCAGGGGCAGACCCCCTACCCTGCAGCCTGCCAGGGACACTCAAGCCTGCCCAGTGGCTGATCTGTGAGCGCCCTCTGCTGCCACAAGCCTCCAATCACTAGCCCCAGGCTGAGGGGCCTGTGAGGAGCTGTGTCCCCAGCCCTCACGCAGGATTTACCCTGAACTTAGAGCACATTCAGCGCAGCTCAGAGGAAAACTGCTTTGCAGAGGCATCCGACTCATCCATTCCCCCAAGGCTCTCCTAGGCCCTTTCTCCTGACCTGCCATCCCTGTGGTGAAAAAGCACATGATGCAAAGGGGGCACTGGCCCCTGGAAGAAAAAAAAGTCACCCCGTGCTCTTTTGTTCAGCCTCCCTGAACCCCACGTCTGTTCTGGAGCCCCTCTCTGCCCAGCACACAATGCCCTAATGCCTGTTCTCCTTCTGTCTTGCTCATCTGAATACACCGCTGCCTTGCCACCAGCTCTACTTCTTCCCTGACTGCGGTGCTGCCCCCCGGCACCT